ACCAACACGCTGACATGGCCTACATGCGCAAACTGACATAGTCCGCGGTGGCGAATCAGCACCCCGCGTTAGATAGTTATTGATTTTTCTACCTATTCAAACTTTAATTGTTATGTACAGCGTTAATTTCCCTTCCAAACGTTTGGCATGATGAAGAGTTGCTGAAAGCAATTGTTTGCCATAAACTGACTTCTAATGAATGCGTTGAGTTCCCTTGACACAGAGGGATCTTTGGATTGTGTAAGGTCAATCAATATTCTCAAGTTTAACTTCAAAAGTTTACTCGGTGAACATATGTAGTTAGCCATTTGTTATCGGGCCGGAACACATGCAGCGATAATGAAAATCCTACATTTGAACTGGGTTCATACGTGTTTGATGATTAAAACTTATCATTTTCGTGCTGCCCACAGAGCGAGATCGGCGCGTAGAGGTCATTCCGCTAGAGGAGGAGGCAGGGGAGGAAAAGAGGATAAGCTGTGAAAATATGTCATGGGTCGAGTATCAATGATGGAAATAACTGTCATTTAAATGGAATGAACAACTGTCACCACGGGGTCGGAACGATATGCGATCGCCACATGGCTTCGGTGTCGGTCATGGACGTACTACTGTTTCTGTCAGCGTCTTCTGACAACACAGCACTCTATTCGCTAGCCGTATAGCCACTGCCTCGGCTGTTGATAGCCCCCATTGCTGTAGGCCTCTGGCGAAGTTGGTTAGGGAATATTAGCGAACGCACCAAATAGCCGGCTTCTTAACCGCAGAGGAGAAAGGCGAGTTAATAAGACTGCCCCTCGTAGGCGAAGCAACAAACAAGCTAATAAAACGTCATCGGAAGACGGCGATCACGAGCGAGCTTTTTAGCGAGCTTCATTTTGACCAGTAACAAAAGATATGTGCTTTAAAAAGTAACTACTTAGGTAGTATGCGTTTTTATAAGATTTTGACTGCCTTTATAAATTCGAGTATATTTTTTTAGAAAACATGCACGAAAAAATTATGTCTTATATTCATTTCTTTGTGAGGTGTTCATTCATAATACACCGTATCCGTCAATTTATTAATGCTGCCTATACTGTATAAAGCATGCTCCACATCTATCGCAACATTTTATGACAACTATGTGACTTCCTTCTCCAACTGTAGGCGAAAACGTACTTTTCCTTAAACAAGATGTACACAGTGTGCAGTTCTTAACCTTGCATTCGAGTGTAGCAGTCTGTAGGTTTCAAAATCATTCGGCAATTTAGAAACATTTTCAAAACTATAAAATACCCTTTCTTTAAGTATAAAATATAAAGAAGGCGTAATTTGTTACCAAATGAGTACAATAAATATTTCTTTCCTTTACGTTTTCCATAAAATATATTTGAATTCATAAATACAGTCAAAATCAATGATAAAAACGCATAATATTTGAGTAGTTTCTTTTTACAGTACATACGTTTGCTTAGTGGACAGAACGAAATTCGTTACAAACCCAGCATCCTATCACGACTGAAGTAACTTCAGAATAGACTATACGATAATCAGTACCACAACCTGAGTAAATGCCAGTTAGCGAAAGATTATCTATATTTCGCAAATGTCGGAATGTTGCACGAATTCTGGCGCGTACTGTACGAGAAGCTGACACAAGCCCTCTTCTTTCGTAGCCGACCCCGATGCCAGGTTGCGAACACTTATCGCCTCCCTGTTTATTATGTTCAAATGTCAGTTATCTTCATTCCAGGTTCCCCACCCATGGCCAGTGTTCACAGCATATCAAAATTTACCCCCTCTCGTTACCTCTACTGTAATGACCTCCACCCGCCGATTTCGCTAAGCGAGCGGCGTCAAAACGATGACCTGTCATAATCAGACACTAATTAACCCTGTACAACTTTAACATTTTCATAATTCATCCAGATGTACCGGTCCGATGATAAATTTCTGAAAACATGTTTGCCGAATTAATTATTACGCTATGTTCAAAGGAATGCTGTGTGTACTGGTCAAATCTTTCAAAAGTTTCTTGCTTTATTTGCGACGCAAGTTTCCATGCATATTCTTATTCTTTGGGCATACATTTACGCTGTTTGACAACGCCCTCTTTAAGTGACGAAGGGCGTCTCTAGGTTAAGGTGTGCTATTGATGGAGCAAACCGCTTTTTATATACTTAGCTGACTAGAGGAATCAAAAACGTCTGGTTTTCGCCAAAATATGCAGAATGGATTCGGTTGTAGTCCGTCGTGATGCTTTATATACAAAAATATATTTTGCTATTTTTTTGGTCTTAATTAACTAT